TGCCAGCCAGACATCTAATGTTCTGGCCATACAAGTAACCGCCACCGCTGGCTTGAACCCGGCCCCCGCGGCTTCCCAAGCCCGTCTGAGCAGTGTTTCGGCCTTTTTATCCATAGGATCTTTAAGCAGGCCCATATCTTCAAAGGACAGGTCTGTGTTCTTTGAAAATTGCCAGGGAAGCGTCCACCTTGGGACATTTTTCCCACACCTCCAAGTCTTCCCCTTTGAAGGGAAATCTTCTTTTTAGCTTGGAGGAAAAAAATACCTTCGGCTCTGGATCTTTCCACTCCGTGGTCACCACGTCCTTAATAGACTGGTGAACTGGGAACGTGCGGCCCTTTTTGGGCTGTACCCTTTATATAATCTGTGTATAGACAGTTCCCCTTGCTCTTCGGAGATACCCAACGTATCCCATACTGACTTGAGGAGCTCGTTGGTCTCATGCGCGGGGAACAAATATCTCCCCTGAGATGGTCCCGTGTCTTCTCCTGATTCTAACTCTGCTTCCTCCTCGGAGTCAGCGGAAGAATCTGACACCGTAGCAGCCCTCTCAGAAACACTGCTTGCTCGTGAGACCCCTCTCCGGAATAACTGTGCGGAATGACGGAAAGGAGGACATCATTTCTTGCCGCATGGAATCCAACAGATTTTTGAACATGCTGGAGGATTCATCCTTAATCAGTTCCCCAATGCAAGATTGGCATAGGGTTTTTTTGGATGTGGAGGAATACTTCTTATTGCATTGCGCACATCTCTTATTACTTGATCGATTTGCTGCAGTTGCCCTCTGCAAGACAAAAAACGACCAAGCCATGTTAAAACCAACAGCCATCTGCCAACACTGTGTCCACCCCATTTCTCATGCCCCCAACACTGAGAAATAACCGGTAAAAGGAATGGGGAACTCCCCTTCTCTTACCTTAGAGCTGCCGGCACCAGGATCCCCCAGATCAAATGATGCCATCATGGTATTTGAGTCTCCAGCTGGGCCCCTTGGCCCCTCCGACTCCAGCTCCTGTGCCCCGCCACTGGTGCCCCCCCTTGCGTGTGTGGGCACCGCAAGGGCCTTGCGACCCCCTGCTTCAGTTGTGTTGGCCATACTGTAGCGTGGACTGAGCGGTCGGCGAAGACTGGAAGCGTCCAGCATATACCCGTCGCACCGGAAGTGACGACAGACGCTCTCGCGGACATGACCGGAAGTGCGTCAATCGCGTCACTTCCGCCCTCGCTGCTCGTCCGCCGGGATATTCATCCCCCATGCCGCACGAGGACTCCCGCCCCCACAGCCCGCTGTAGTGCAGCCTCCAGACCGGAGCCAGGGTCCTCGAATGCCGCCACCGTTGCCACCGACCTGTACCACCACACAGGTAGGAAATCTGCCACACACAGCTTTTTGAAGCAGAGGCTTGCGCTGGGGGAACTCCCCTGAGTCCACCACACCAACAGGTCTAGTTGCCCTGCACACACTTGTGCAGTTAAACTACAGGCAATGTTTTCTGGACAGTTGGGGCTGTCCTGGAAGCCCCCTCTCATGGGTACCCTAGGTCCACTGACCCTCTGCTGTACAATAGGTCTTACTTTCGGGGAAACACGGTATGTATTATTGCTGGGATCTGATGTATTCCTCTATAGCTGGTGTTATTGGAGAGAATGGGTATGATGATGGAATGGAGTGCAGGGATGGAGAGGACGGGTATGATGGTAAAATGGAGTTCAGGAAAGGAGAGGACGGGTATGATGGTGAAATGGAGTGCAGGGATGAAGAGAATGGGTACATTGGTGGAATGGAGTGCAGGGATGGGGGAAGAATGGTGGAATGGGGTGCAGAGGATGGGTATGATGGTGGAATGGAGTGCGGGGATGGAGAGGATGGGTATGATGTTGGAATGGAATGCAGGGATGGAAATGACTGGTATGATCTAAGAATGGAGTGCAAGGATGAGTATGATGGTGGAATGGAGTGCAGGGATGGGGGAAGAATGGTGGAATGGGGTGCAGAGGACGGGTATGATGGGGTGCAGAGGATGGGTATGATGGTGGAATGGGGTGCAGAGGACGGGTATGATGGTGGAATAGGGTGCAGAGGACGGGTATGATGGTGGAATGGGGTGCAGAGGACAGGTATGATGGTGGATTGGGGTGCACGGTGTCAGGTCCCTGGGATAGTCGACAAAAATAAAAAAAAAATCGGCCAACTAATCGATTATGAAAATAAACGTTAGATGCAACCCTACATACAGCCTACAGTATCCAAAGCAACCGATGGCTCTGTGCAGCCGACAGCGTCCTAGCAACCAATGGCAACATACAACTGACGGAGCTCTAACAAGCAATGGTATTGTGCAGCATCCCACCTGTTACTGGTTACTAGGGCTCTGTTGGGAGCAGTGTCTTTGGTTGCTAGGCCACGTTTTACCTGGATACCGAGCAAACAATGACGTTACACTCCAGACAGTGTCCTGGAAACCAAAGACGCTATGCAGATAACAGCGTTCTAACAACCAATAGCACCATGCAGCCAACAGCATTCTAGCAATCGATGGCCCCAAGCAAACAGCCTCATAGAAACCAATGACCCTGCACAGCCGATATCATCCTAGCAACCAATGATGTTGTGTGCTGGACAGTGTCCTAGAAACCAAAGACGCCATACAGCCAACGGTATCCGAGCAACCAGTGACACTCTGCTCGAGACAGCATCCTCAAAACCAATAGCACGGTGCAGCCGAGAGTGTCCTAGCAACCAATGGCGCCATGCAGTCGACAGCACCCTAGCAGCCAATGACATTGTGCAGCCAACAACGACGCTATGCAGCTGACAGTATCCTAGCAACCAATGATCCCATGCAGCCGACAGCATCCTGGCAACCAATTGCCCTCTGCAGCTGACCATCCTGTGCAGCAGCTGGAGGACCAAGTCATGGAGAATCAAACCCAGTTAATCTCACCATAAAGTTGGATTCTGAAGAAAGTCCTGGTTTTTCACCAGCTACTTCTTATCAGCAACTCCCGGTGGTGGTAGTAGGAGAAGAAAGCTACCCCATGGCCGATTATTACCCATTGCCACAGTTTGCTGATCATTCTTACTCCATGTCCTCTGGCACCACCACAGAGGAACTGTTGAGGAAGCTCAATGAACAGCGGGATATTATAGCCTTTACGGAGGTAAAAATGAAAGAGACAAAGTCAAGCATCAGACATTTAAGAATCACAGGAGGTTAAACTGAGGGAGGAAATCCAACAGAACAATAAAGTTTTAAATGCAGCAAAGAAAAACCGCTTGGAGTTGGGGAAGACCTGATTTTCTTTTTTTCCTGAGTGACGGAGCCCTAACAATGGTACTGTGCAGCCGACATCATCCCACCTGTTACTGGTTACTAGCGCTCTGTTGGGAGCACAGTGTCTTTGGTTGCTAGGATGCTGTCGCCTGCATACTTCGCAACCAACGACGCTACGCTCCAGTGTCCTGAAAACCAAAGACGTTATGCAGCCAACAGCGTTCTAGCAATTAATAGTGCCATGCAGCCAACGGCATTCTAGCAAACAATGGGACTAAGCAAACAGCCTCATAGAAACCAAAGGCCCTGTACCAGGTTCCAGCCAATGATGCTGTGCTCTAGGCAGTATCCTAGCAACAAGTGACACTATGCTCCAGGCATCATCCTCAAAACCAATGGCACAGTACAGCCGAGAATGTCCTAGCAACCGATGGCACTGTGTAGCTAAGCGTCCTAGCAACCAAGGACGCCGTGCGGCTGGCAGCGTCCTAGGAACCAATGGCGCTACACAGCCGACAGCATCCTAAGGACCAATGATGCTGAGCTCCCACCCGGGGGCAGTACAGGCTCTGAGGGTGAAGTGTCCAGTATGCACACTCTGACCTCGGTACCACCCTCCCCTGCCCAGCCACAAAGTAAGACTCATGTTTTCAACAGCTATACAAATCAGTCGCTAGTTGCGACATTTGCAGCAGTGACTTTAGAAAGTTTTCCTTTCAGTGTCTATGACACTTTTTATGAATTCCAGGTAGTGAGTTTTTTTAAAGGTCCTTCACAAGCACAAAAAGCCCATCTCCAGGTAAAAAAAATAAAAACTCCTATAGAGCTCTCCTTCAACTCCTGTAGAGGGGCTACCCCAACTTTTCAAGGGTTAACTGTTTGTTAAAGGAGAATTATGGGGAGAGTGAAATCCACTCATCCCCATAATTAGAGCAGACGTGTGACACTGAAGCTGTGACGTCAGCTCCATTGATAAGGAACTGAGCAATTACATACCGCCGGTCGCTTAATTCTTAATATCTTCTCCCTACAGAGAGCAGTGACGGTCAGTCACCTCTCCACACAGAAATGTTCCCCTCACTGTTTTCCCAGCACTGACTGGAGGAACAGATGGGGTAGGGGGCAGGCACAGCTGGCTCTTCTTCTAGAGTGGCAGAGCCAGCTGTCAATCAGGCAATATTGTCAGGGTATGTCCAGGCTGCAGTGTGGCTCTGCACTGTCAGCATATAGTGGCAATAGCCCGCTATTTGCTGAGTTTTGGGTCACAGGAGGACATTAGTAAGTGGAAAGATCATTCACTTATCTGATCCCCACTCCCTCAGTGGTCAGCGCTCATATCTCTCTCTCCCCTCAGCAGTGTCCCTCACTGTCCTCACCTATAATGCAGCGCCATGGGCCCTGCATTGCACATGATGATGTCATCGCCCCCTCCTCACCGCCATAGCAAAGAATGAAGCTGGCTGCAGGTGTCGGTCTTAAAGCTCAGGGATCAGGGACATAATAGTCCTTTACACATTAACAAGCAGGTTTTTTTTTCCACCTGGACATAGGCTGTAAAGTCTCAACAATCTCCACCGACGTTGTTGTTTCTTTGACAAACCGCATAACTGTCAGCTAACTTGAGCTGCAGAAACCGCCATAACAAAGGTTTGAAAACTACCTCCCGGTGTATATTTAATATTCCGCAACACACTACCTTCGATATGACGGCTGTACCTGTTACTGAATTGCACTATGATCTCCTCTTTTCAAATCGCCAAAATACCGCGCTCACGTAGTGTAATCTCACGAGCACACGTGACCCACGAAGTTCTCGGCTATGAAATCACGTTGCTGAAGGCCTCTCCTGGCACCGGAAGTTCGCGGTGTTCTGGGATATGTAGTTTCCGCCGTGCGCATTACGAGTGCTGGCTCCATCGTAAAGAACCTGGGAACGGTCGCTAACAAGCAGTGATGCCTGGCTTCACCTGCTGTGTCCCGGGTTGCTATAGCAATTCGCATCGAGACAAAGGTCTGCACTTTTATACGTTCCCCAAAGATCCGGAGCTGCGGCACCTGTGGCTGAAGAACGTGTCTCGGGCGGGAGTGACGGGCTGCTTTAGTACTTTCCAGCCCACCAATGGTCACCGAGTTTGTAGCCTTCACTTTCATGGAGGGCGCAAGTCCTACAGCATCAGGGTGCCTACCATTTTCCCTCTCAGGGGGGTGAACGAGAGGAGACCTCGCAGGGGTACCGACAAAAGCAAGAAGAGACATCAGCCTAATTATTCCACAGCGGTCCTGGTGACATCTCTGCCAGGACAGGAGCAAGAGGTGCTGGAGCTGACAGCTGGGAGTGCAGAGATGATGCTCATAGGTGCCCCACCTGGCATGGGAGCAGACATGACCGGGGTAGACGTATCTGCGCCTTCCATAGGAAGATCTCTGGGAGCAGCGGCTGGAGGACCAATTCATGGAGAATCAAACCCAGTTAATCTTACCGTAAAGTTGGATTCTGAAGATAGTCCTGGTTTTTCACCGGCTACGTCTCATCAGCAACTCCAAGTGGTGGTAGTGGGAGAAGAAAGCTACCCCATGGCCGATTATTACCCATTGCCACAGTTTGCTGATCATTCTTACTCCATGTCCTCTGGCACCACCACAGAGGAACTGTTAAGAAAGCTCAATGAACAGCGGGATATTATAGCCCTTATGGAGGTCAAAATGAAAGAGATGAAGTCAAGCATCAGACATTTAAGAATCACAGAGGTTAAACTGAGGGAGGAAATCCGACAGAAAGATAAAGTTTTAAATGCGGCAAAGAAAAAAGCTTGAGTTGGGGAAGACCTGATTTTGCTTTTTCTGACAGTCGTTAAAAAAGGTCACCAACGAAGCCAACCGGTTTTGCAGTACCAGGAGGAATTATCAATCGTCATGACTAGATATCACTTATAATGTACTTATCGAATGTGACCCTGTCTATGAATATATGTACGAAGGGATGGTTCATATTGGAGGTGTTAACAGCAAGGATTATAACTTTCCCCGTCAAAGTTATCGCAAAACCCTTTTTTGTTCAGATCTTTGCACGTTTTCACGTGAGTTATCTGTAAAGCTGTTTCAAATAAAAGGTTTTTGTGTATGTTAGGTTTACTTTTCATTCTACTCTGTAGAAAGCTCTGGAGGTCAATTTTAGCGTTCTTTACAGAACTTGTAGTAAATAAATGTTAGAGAAAAAAAACTTTTGTTACATACAGACACTGATTGCCTTTGGAAGATGATCGTTGCTTGTCATTTTGATCCAGTTGGGTTTTTTTTTATTGTTTTGTTGCGTCACAAAAAACAGGAAAAATGTTCAGCAAGTGAGGTTGGAGCTCACAATCCTCATACTTGTTCTAGGTCAGTGACCCAATATACATTATATCAGCAAGACAGACAGGTAACTAACATTTCAGGAGTGATCAGCACTAGCAGCCTCCATGTTTTTCTCAGGATGAGTTTCATTAAATGTCAAAATATCTGAAATTCATCAAATATTTTGTTATGCACTTAAGATATGTACAGAGTCATATATTTAAAACAATCCTTTAAGCACAGCTTACCTGGTAAAGTGGCCTAGACCCTCACACCCCATTCACACCTGGGTGGTTTAAGGCGCATTTGTTGAAATGCTTCTGCATGAATAATCCAATATGAGATTGAAGCTTGAAAAAGTTCATGAGCTACTTTTAAAAGAGAACTATGGGGTAAGTGTTTTTCCCCATACTTCTCTTAAGGATCACGGGAGGACATATACTAGTGTTTTCCCGTGACCCAAATCTCAGTATATCGCGATCTACAGCTCGCAGTATACTGAGACCACTGCAGCCGGGACGGATCCCGACAATGCTGTCGAGATCCACCCAGCTGTGTGATTGAGATCTGGCTCTGCCTTAGTAGAGGCAGAGTCAGCTGTACCCGCCCCCTCCCCGTCCGTTCCTCCAGTCAGCGCTGGAGGATATGAGCGGGGAGGGGGGGAATCCCTGCGGGACGCGGTGACTGACAGTCACGGCTCTCTGCAGGGAGATGATCTATTGAGCCGACGTGTGACAGTTTCATTGTCACACATCGGCTCGAACTATGAGGCTGTGTGATTTTCACTCACCTCATAGTTCTTTAAGGCAGAATCATGTGTTTTTTTTCCCTGAACTTCTATATGAGCACCTGAAAAATGTGTGTTCCATAAAGGCGCTCCCATTTAAAAGTCTGTAAGACCAAAAATGCACCATTCTCTTTTGGTAATATAAGTTGCATGTAAGAAATGTGTCTAGATACCTGAGTGTGAGCATAGCCAGGCTATGATTGTGACATAAGAGCAGACGCTTCAGGTACTGAAGGCATAAGCAAAACCTACAGTGCGCTGTTCTAAAAATAGGGACTTGAGGTGTCCTTTTTCTGCTGTGACCTAAAACACTTTTCTATTGACCGTTGAGCCTTTCCTTTTAAATGGATAAATGGGAGGCACGGGTGGGAGTAGTTGGACCAGATCACAGCAATGCCACCTAGTTGCTTTTTCTTTTTTATAGTTTTAAACAGAGTAGGGAAGGGTTAGACCCCTGTCAAGTTTTTATTTCCCTTTGTGTCCCTGTTGGGGAGATTTGTATCTCTGTTTGTACTGGTTACCATTGACACTAAGAATGAAAGTGAGGGGATGTCCAGAATTTAGCGCTCTCCCCAGAACAAGAGAAAAGTCAAATCTTCCAATAGTTACATCTGTTCCAGGGCCAACTGTCTAAAGGTGCCCATATACTGTACGATTATCGTACGAGAATCGCGGGAAATCCCGCGATCGTACAATAATCCCAAAGTGTATGGAAGGCGTGCAACCGTTTCTACTGTAAGGTCGCATGTCTTCCATCGAACAAGCAGGCTGGAAACCCGCCGGGAATCATATGCGCACGATGATCGCAAGTACGATCTGCCTGTCTAAGATCGTACGAGCTGTGGGCAGATCGTACAAGCTTTTAATTAGCTTACAACCATCGCAAGACAAAAGTCTTGCGATGGTTGTAAGGTGTATGGGCACCTTAAGAGTCGGAATTCCCTATTTGGTGATTTCCTCTAACTGTCTGTTGTACCCCTGGGACAGAAAGTAAATGGGAAATCACCCAAACAGGACACTAAGCAAAGAATTTAACTTACAGGGGCTCTCTCTCTTCCCCTCTCTCTTTCTCTTTTAATATACAAACTTTAGGCTCACAATATCACTTGTGCAGTGCTTGAACTGGTGTGCATTTCATGAATGCATGCAGAATCACACAGCTTCATGCAAAAAATGCATTCATTGTTATTGTACTCCAAACTTGCCACGCACAACACTTGGCGCCCAATGTCTCAAGTGTGAATGGAGGACTAAGGCAGGGGTGGGCATACTCTGGCCCTCCAGCTGTTGTTGAACTACCAATCTCATGGGGCATGGCAAGATTCTCCAAGAGGCAGATGCATGATGGGATTTGTAGTATCAACACAGCTGGAGGGCCAAAGTTTGTCTACCCCTGCGCTAAGGGGATCCAGAGATGTCCTGGAACTAATCTGCAAATGGCTAGAGATATCTACTATTGGGACATAGAGCCACTTAACTGAGCAGGGTAAACGTATAGGTTTACATTTAAAAGGGAATCTATCTTGATGCAGAAATCTGTGTGATAAGATGGTCACCATTTTTTGTCTTCCTGTGTTGTATACTGGTTTAGATCTGCTGATGGTAATGCAGTCTTTCTTTACCCTTGGGCACTTAGCATGACAAAACATTCTGAGTATGGAGTATGTATTTTTGATGATAATTGTTCCTTTTCTGTGACTTTTTTCCACCTTTTTTATAATTGTATTGTAAGCACATGGGGCTTGAACAGCGCCAGCCGGGGTATGTCAGCTGCCAGTGGCAAGATTCCGCAGATGCAGCTGAATGTAAATACAGCAGGTAGTGGGCTGGTAGCATTTCAAATTGCAATAGCAGGCTATTGCAAGCACCCGCCCACTGCTTGCTGTGCCCTCCTCCTGTAATACTCGCCTTGGGAGAGGGTTTAAAACCCCGGCGTGGATCACAACTGCGGACGGAAGGTTTCTTATGAACGGGTATCAGATTAGCAGCTACTCCCAGAAGTGCCCAGTTTTGTAGAGTTAGGCGATTGGGAGGCTACGAAACATCATGCCCCGTTTGTGCAGTGGGATATGCGTGGGTGCACACCGACAGTGAATAGTGGGATCTGGTTAAATGGATAGCAATGCAATTGTTAGTGGAGATTTGTACAAACAGGTAATGGTAATCACTGGTTCATTGGATTGTAATGCAATGGTTAATGGAGATCTGTACAAACAGGTAATGGTAATCACTGGTTCATTGGATTGTAATGCAATGGTTAATGGAGATCTGTACAAACAGGCAGTAGTATTCACTAGTTCAATGGATAGCAATGTATTGATTTTCCCAGAGGTTTGTACGTAACAGTCAATAGTAATCCCTGGTTAACTGGATAGCAATGCAATGGTTACTGTAGATCTGCACACAAGCAATCAATAGTCAGCATGGGTTCACATAGGGCAGGAGCATTGGCTCTGCCCACTACTCTGAAATAGCCAAGTCTACTTGCGGTTTTGGTCGCTGGAACAAGGGTGCTTGGAAGCACTGGGTCTCACGGCGTTGAGGCGAGTGGAGCGCTGAGTTGATCGGCGTCTTTCTGTTAGTAGTGGAAGGACGCTGATCAACTACCGGACCACGGCTTTATGCCGAGTGCTGCGTCTCGAAGGGGCGGAGCTTCTCCCTGCGCCCGACGTAGACGGCTCTGAAGGGAGAGATGACGGAGGCCCGTGCTGCGCCTGTGCGAGGCGACTACGGAGAGCCGCACCAGAGCTCACCTGTTTCCGATGGCGAGCTGAGGCGGCCGAACCGCGATGCGCCTGCGCCGGTAAGCGACGGCCACCCCTACCTGGTCCCCGCAGTGTCCGTCTATTACACCTCCCAGCGTGGAGGAGAGAGCTAGGGGATCCAACCAACTAATTTATAATGAGAATAGTTGACAACTATTAATTATTGATTAATCGATTAGTTGGTTGCAGCCCCGACAGTATTCGCTTTTCATGAGTCCACAATGATTGTGACTTGAACACACTGTTTTGAGTTATCATAGTTGATTTACTAAAGGCAAATGGGTTGTTCACTTTGGAAGGGAATTTAAAGTTTGCAGGGGAAGTTTGCCTTAGTTTGGTGAATGTGGTGAAAATTCATTTTGCAAAGAATACCTCGATCACAAGCAAAGAAAATTAAAAAAACAGTAGTTTTGTTTGAAAATTTTTGATTGATGGAAGTGAGCAGAGCGTCATCTCATTCACTAAACTAAGGGGAAACTTCCCTTGCAAAGTGAACAGCCTATTTGTTTTTAGTAAATCAACCCTATTGCTTAGAAATTGTTTAGGTGTTAATGTGACATTATGGGGGTGATTTACTAACCTAAACACACGCACGCACTAGGTGCGTGTGATTTTTACACAGCAAAACGTATTTATCAACCAAAAAGTCTCTAAAAGCATATTTCCACTAATGCCATATATGGAAAAATCATGCACATGATGCATATATAATGCTGCTTCACAGTTTAGACAAAAATGGTTAGCTCATGCATTTACATTCCTGCATTCATCAACGCAAGCAACACAATCTAGAGCTAATTTACACAACATCACCTTGCACTTCATGCAGGGCTTTGCACAACACACCTGCTGGGTGTGTACACACTACAAAGGTGTCTAGATTCCACCAATAGATCATGCTGGGAGGGAACACACTACAGAGGTGTATACTTGTTCGTGGTGTGTTTATAAGGTTAGTAAATCAACCCCTATAGGTTATTACTTTTGGTTTTACCTTTATTGTTTCTTTATAACCACTCTGTAGTTTTTATTATTGCCACTCCATCTTGATAAACAGATGCAATACATTTTTTTTTGCATACTAGATGGTCCCATCCATCTTACCACTACAGCACCCACATTTTTAGGTCTGCGACTTAAGCTGGCCATACACCAGTAGAATTTTATTTTAAAAATTAGATTTTTTAACAGTTAATGGGGTAAAATCGACAGTCAATTTAGACCGAAGTGGTGTAAAAAAAAAATCAAAGAAGCAGGATGGAACATATTTCTCAAACAAATTACATTCTAACAGTAATGTGTTTTTTGTTCGAGAAACTCCATTTCCAATTCATTTCCAAAATCGAATGTTAAAATCAGACGAAATGTTGTATGGCATTCTCTGATGGCATTCTCAATTCACATTCACTTTCTGGTTTTAAGGCAGCCACATCACCCCAG